GGGGGTCCTCAGCATTCCCAGCATTCCAGCACATTAGGCGCGTGTAGAAGGCGGGGGTGCGGATGTTCAGCAAAGGAACATGTGGCCTCTTCATGGATGTGAGAGACTACGGGATAGAAACCCTGAGCCGAATGATAGCTCAGATTTTTGACCTAGCCCTAAATCACCGCAGAACCCTAATGTTCATGTCTTGGTCCATGTTCCTGTTCATTAGAAGCCCGGGAGCCCCTAAGCCCTAAATCGTAAAGCCTACACCCTATATACCCTAATCCTGAATCCTAACCTTAAATCCTACAGAGCCCTAAGCCCTCAGGCAGTCGCGAGACGGCTTACTATAAGCCCTATATAAGCCGTATAAAATCCCTGTAATCCTTTTAGCTTCCATTTTATTTTCCATTATCCCAATATCACCCCAATATATTCCCTGATCCCTGCTTACAGCAATCCTGGCCAAGATGCTTGGAGTACCATTCTGTCCCCACATCGCTGAAAGACATGGCAACTCAAACCCTGAAACTAGGTAGTAGAGGTTTAGGGTTTAGGGTAGGTAGGCATATCACGAAGTATGAGGGTTGTCCGTAGGGGCAGTTACAAGCGACTTTTCTGGTAACATCTTTGGTTTTCCCTACTTGGAGATTTATGGGACTTGGTAGCCACTTATAATTGGGCTTATAACCCTACCTACAATTAGGATAACTCCTATGAGGCCTTTTAGGGGGATTACAGGCAGGGTTATGGGCCCAGCCATAAGTACTTACTAAGTCCCTTAAACCTCCAAGTAGGACTTAGAAGCTGGGAGTTCCCCAAACCCTAAACCCTAAGCCCTAAACCCCAAACCCTAAACCCTAAACCCTTCTCCTGTTTGGGAGAGTTCTATGTGTGCTTTGCTTTCGGCCTACCAATGTCAATTTCAGGTCTACTTGAGGTCCCTTGTACTACAGTTCTACCTGGAATGTAGGACCATGATGTCGGTAACTTTTCAGGCCCCTACGTTGGGCCTAGGTTCGCGATTGTGAAGCCTAGTTGTATTATTTCGGGTAGCAACCGTACTCAGATGGTCCCAGTACACCATAATTGGATTCTGGGGATTTGGGTAGTAGTATCTGTAGTACCGGTTTTGGGGAAGTATGTGATTATTGAGTACTTGGACCCTTACAGGTAGGGAACGAGGTAGGAAGGGACTACAACGAAGCTCCCTCAACCCTAAACGCTCAAAGCCCTCAAACCTTAACCCTTAAACCCCAAAACTTAAACCCTAAGCCCTTAAACCCCAAAACCTAAACCCTTAAACCCCAAAACCTAAACCCTAAACCCTTAAACCCCAAAACTTAAACCCTCAAACCCCAAAACTTAAGCCCTGGAATGGAACCAGTCGAGCCAAACAAGCGCTGCTGCGTGGGGGGCTGCGCGCTTTTAGGTCTGAGGGTTTAGGGTTTGGGTTCAGGGTTTAGGCTTTAAGGGCTTAGGTTGGACATCGGGCGTTGAACTGAAACATGTCAGTTTCTCAAAATTAGGGGCACCCTTAAACGGGGGCTATAAGGGCTATACGGGGTTAAGTAGGGTTATATAGGATTTAGGGTTTCCCAATCTTAGCGTACCATTTTGGGGACGCCTGAAGCTTGGGCCTTCGAACCGTGCTCTCGCCTGAAAAGAATGCCATATGAGAGCCTTCGTATGTTAGTCTTCCCAACATAGGGAAATCTCACATACGGACCTGTGTCGTCATAGGAAACCCATCATGGGAGTGCACCTTGCACAAGACTTCAGTAAAAAAACAAAAAAAAACGTATGCAACTGTGAGCGTCCTCACTGCCTTGCCTGGCCATAACCTTCCGAGTTTAGGGTTTAGGATTTAGCGTTTAGGTTTGTGGCAGTGGATTTCGGGTCTGGGGTTCATGCAGGGTTTAGGGTCATTGTGTTCAGGCGTAAATCTCCGGCTGCCCCAATGCTTGACCTGACGGGCCGTCAGCAAAATAGAGAGGACTTGCAAGTTCACACCTCAGTTTGAAGCATGTTGGCAGACATGAGGCTTCCATTCTTGGGACTGAGTAGACATCAGCCACACCCCGGTGATTCTGCTTGCACGCAGTGGATAAGCAGCGGGGTTTATCAAGGTAGCCCACGTAAAGTTCATACAGCCGCATGATGCAGTCACGAATGCCTCCAAAAAACATTAAACATTCATCCGGTAACTTCCAACTAATCCCTAGTCCCTAAACCCAGTATGTCTCTACAACCCCTTTACAGGGCCCCTGTGGTACCCTGCACCCTTTTGCGAAACGACCGGATTCCTCCCTGGTTAGCTTTGAACCAGGGAGGCTGTCAGCATATTGGGCTTGGAGGGCCCCCCGAGCTCCTTCATTAGGGTTTAGGGTTTAGGGTTTAGTGTTTAGGGTTTAGGGTTTTCGTGCAAGTTTAGGGATCAGGGGCTTAAGGTTTAGGGTTTTACGGATCAATGGCTTCGGGATTTATACGAATGAGGGTTCAAGGGGTTTAGGGGTAAGGATTCGAGGTGTTTTGCTCTCAGGATTGATTAAGATTTCGAGTTCAGGGTTTGGGGATGATAGGGCTTAAGGATTACCTGGACCCCAGAAGTAAGTGAAAAAATAGCCCAAAACCCCTACAAATACACCAAAAGGCAATGATTTTACTTACTTTTGGGGTTCAGGTAGGGCTTAAGCTTTAAGGGGTGGGGCTCACGGTTTCCTGTTTAAGGACTTCGGGTTTAAGGCTCATAGGGTTCAAGGAGGAGATGCAGGAATCCTGCATTTGGTTTTTCGGGAAAAGGGTAACCCTGATCCCTAAGCCACCAAGGATGACAACTCCAGGTCTAAAGCTCCGGGTCTCAGGATTAGGGCTTTGGGGGCTGAGGATAAGCGTTTAGGGTTCAGACCTTCTCTGCTAAGTTAGCAAAATCTTGGATCCATTGCAACTTTAAGGACATCTGGGGATAATGACGGGATTGCAGGGTTCCGTTGACAACCTACGCTAAGCCCTAAACGGCCCTAAAGCCTTAACCAAGACAAGAGTCCCGGAGCGGGAAAGCGCTGTTGACGAGAGCTTGCAGAAATGGAATCTCAGCCAGCAGCCTCAGTGTTAGGGTTGAGGGTTTATGGTTTGGGCCCACGGTATTGGGTGTAGGGTTCAGGGGATAATTCCATGGAGGAGGGTTTAAAGACAGTACCCCAGTACTGGAAAATGGGATGGAAAAGGAAATCAAAACCCGTCGATTGGATAGTACATGCTCACAACATCTGTTTTCCCTACCTTGCTGAAGGCACCCCAACTAACTAGCAGCCAGGGCTTAGGGTAACTAGATCACGCGCGCATAGAACGCCGGGATGTTTGAGAAGGCTAAAAATGCACGAAACTGAGGTTTCAGCACGATTTCATCCGCAACATTAGCAAGTGTAAAATGTCGGTAGACTAATTCGTTTTCGCACGATCATCTACGTTTTGTGGGACGAATGACGAAAGGTACGCAAAATCTGGCATGTCTAAGACGCTAACCGGCAAGAGCTCTCAAACCCCGGAGCTTGAACAGGAAAATCGCAAAGCAAAAACTTCCAAAAACTATCATGCGAAGGCTGAACAGAAACCAGAACATGCAGGGAAACATGGCCTCAGCAAGAAAAGTGTCCAGGAGAAACGCAAAATCAGAACTTCTCACATCCTGGGAGTAAGGTCCATCGACCCCGCTTGCCCCACGAACTCTTGAAACACGAATGTTAATATGGCGTGGGCATGGATGCTCTGGTGATCGTATGCATTTGAAACACAAGCATTATGATGGTTTGGGCATGGATGCTATGGAGCGAAGCGTGAACAAATCGCAATAGTCCTTGCTTGCTCGTGTCAGCTACTAGAACTGACACAAATCACCAGGCGATCTGTGCGCGCGGCACCAACTAGCAGGGATTCAAAACAGGAGCCCTGAATTGGCTACCATAATGTAGACCCATGATTAATTAACCCCCCTCCTTTTAAGGGCCCTAATACTCGGATCCCTATTATGTTCCCTATTAAGGGGAGGGGTTTATTAATCAGGGGTCTACATTACTCCGTAAAAGGATCCATATCGATACGCTTCATGCTAGCTTACGGACAGCCAAGGGCATCTCTCCAATTGGCCAGCGGATACGCTCCAAGTTGCAGGGTTACAAGGAGGATTTCGAGGGTAAAGTTTGTGGACTGCATAGAGCGTGAAACCCTACACACTACACCCTATACGGCTCAAAGCAAGATCCGGGCTTAGTCTAGTTGTACCTTACTTAGAGGCTTTGAGCTTAGATTGTGATACAAACCTGCATAAGAGGGCACTCTATCATAATAGGGCTTATACTACATACATTTTACCGCAGCCTTTGACAGCATTCGTAGGATATCATTGCTCTGTAATCGCCCCTAGAAACAACTCGCTGCACCCACCTAGTTATGGATATTCCCCGGATAGTCTAGCGGGGTTAACGTTTGTAATTGTGGAGGCAGCCAAGGGTGGGGCTTACCGCAATCGCGTGACGGCAATCTCAGAAATTCATGGGTGATATTGCGCTACAGCATGACTTCTTATGACTGCCAGCAACCCTCCAGCAAGGCAACAGTTAGGTATGCGATGTAGAGACAGCCCTCGATTTTCCCAGAAGCCTGAGCCTGCGAGGGAGCCAGGCGACAGAAATGCCTGAACTCTCGTGGCGGCGTCAGCATGTGTAAAGACTCGGCTGCCCGGAATCAGCACAAGCGATGTGTGAAAGATCCACACCTCAATGGTTCAGGGCTTGGGGTTAAGGGCTTTCTCTGCTTGATGTTTGTCTCAAGTAACCCAGACCATTCTATACACGGAATTACTGTATAAAGACACAGTACTTGTAGTCATTGTTCAGGCATCTACTACATCCTATCCGCCTCAGACTCAGCACACAAGGATGCTGGATCCTAATGTTTATGGTCTAGGGTTTAGGCTTCAGATGAGGGTTTGGAAAGGAGTTGACAAAGTCCCAAGCTGTTCATTCGAATGGCCTTTCCGCACAAGTGCAGTCCCATCTTGCTCTATCAAAAAAAGCAGGCAAGCGGAAGACAGACATAAGATTCTGATTCGGAAGTGTCCCTAAATCGTCACTGTAGACTCTCCAAACGGGACTCCTAAAACCCTGTTGCAACCTTTATATACCCCTAGAACCCCCCTAATTAAGAGTATCACTATTTCAGAAACTTGCTGGTTGCTAGCGACCCTGTACCCTGAACCCTAATCTCTTAGCCACAAGTAAGTAGCAGGGAAGGAAAGACTTGACAAGAACATGGAAAACGACCATATTCTTGAGATTGTATAGGGGCTACTACAGGCATCCATTGCTCCGTTCTGTTTGGTGTTTAGGGTCTAGGGGCCCTAAACCCGTAAACCCCACATCCATGCCAGGACACTACCAAGGTTTTCTGGATCAAGGACAAAAGAATCCTCGGTCGCGCAGTCATGAAGAAATGGGTGACGTGAAGCTTGTGGTTTAGAGTTCAGGGTTTAGGGTCCATGGGTTAGGGGCCTAACTATATTAGGATTTGGAAGCATATTATAGTATAGCTACACAGGGATCATAAGGCAACGGTGTTGGTTATGATTCAGGTTTCAAAAGTAGGGCTTAGAGTCTAGGATCTAGGGTTTCTACTGTAGCGCCTGGTCCGGTCGAAGGATCGAAAACAAAAAAATGGTCTGAGCAACACTACATGTAGCGCAGAACGTCTCGTGCAAACGTCCAAACAAGGTCTACCAAGCTCAATTAGCATTTCATCCAGAAACCAATAATTCATCAAGCTCCCGAAGACCCATCCATGATATCCTAACTCTTAACCCAAGGAATCTGAACTGCAAGGCGTAAACCCGCCACCGTCAAAACATGATACCCTAAGCTCCAAATCCTGGAAGCCGAAATGGCAAAAGCAATATACGTTGAGCAAGAACAGGTGATGTTGTAGGTGATTCTTTGGGACCCAGCATATCCACCACCTCCCCATTTCCCCCTAACCACCAGTGACAATAATGTCCTACAACTTCAGCTTTTGCCTACCTAAACTGCACTCTAAGCCTAAAACCCCCACTTCAGTCGGGAGGCAACATCTTAATGGCCAAGAACTTCGAGGTGGTCTTGTAGCGGTGCAGCACATCATGCGTGGCGCGATAAAGGGCAAAAAGAGCCTGCCTGGGTTCTCTGAGTTGCTTTTACAAAGCTGAAACTAAGCTACCACGACAAGGGAGTATTCTCGTATGAGCTGTAGTCTAAACGCCTAGTATTCCCCTTAACAACCCCTAGAATACTCCCCGACATAACCCCCTATATAACCCCTTTACGGAGTCTAGAACATAGATCATATCATGGTAACTTAAGTTACCCTAAACCCTAAGCTCTAGGAGAGGGAGGAGCTGCTAGGGGTACCTTTCGGGTATATGCTGGGTATCTCGGGACCCTTGGGTGAAGGCAACAGTTTGAACCTCGGAGAATCTAGGCTTCAGGGGTTACTGTAGGGTGTTTGAATTTGAGGATCCTTGCTATGTTGTTGGGCTTGGTGTTTTCGAGGTTGTAGTAGGGATTTTGTAGGAACGGCGTGACAGTCTAGGGCCCCTGGAGGGATCCCAGCACTCTATTGGGATCATGCGGGATCGTGGGGAGGCCGGAAATGAGAGTATAGGTGCTATAGAGCTTAGGGAATACAACCTTCTCGCATAAACCGAGGAACAGGCAGCAGAACATCGAAACAGATTGCACCAGCTGAACCAAAAGTTCCGCCAGAAAGAGCCACTCCACATGCAGCTGGCGCTGACCTCGGCTTCTACAGTTGCTAATGCTAAGGATACGAAAAATAAACAGCGTCATCAGAGTATTATTCGTAGTAGCCGTAGCAGCGCAGCAGCAGGAGTGGGAGTAGAGCAGTAGCGCTGGCAGTAGCGCTAGCAGTAGCAGTAGGGGTAGTAGGGTCTGGGAGCTAGGAAGAATTCAGGTCGTCGGGCTCTCATTCCACGTTGAATTTCTGCTGCTCCGTGAAGTTTTACCCTGAGGCTCCAAGTAGCAATGTGGATCACTGATAACTCTAGGGCCCGAAGAAGGCAAACCCCAAACCCCAAACCTTGTC